CGTTTACAAATTTGTTCGTTTTGTGCTTTCTCCTCGATCATTTTGATTATCTGGTACGTAAATAGACAAGTAGTTCCTCGAAAAAGATTTTATAAAAGTTTTGCTGATTTAATACAGAGCAGCTATTCAATATTTTTGGGGATATCAGTCAGTCGTCTACCAAAATCTGGAAAATTGAGATACCTTTTTGGTTTGCTTATAATACTCGCTTATTATTTAACAACATTTTACATTTCTACAATGACTCATAAATACATACATATTAAAACACTACAGAAATATGGCACCCTAAAAAAAATTTACGAAAACAATCTTACTACCTACTTTACGGATAATTCCTTTAAATATGTGAAATATAATGACGAAGTTTCTGCAAATGTTATTGAAGCTAGAAAGATCTATTGTAAGGATTGGATGAAATGTATGAAAGCTGTGGCATCAGGAGATTCAGCGTTTTTAATCAGAAATAATATTGCAAATTATATTCTGAGCAGTTTGAACGAAAACAAAACTAAAGTTTATTGTTTTACATTCATCGATAACATATCAATCATTTTATTAATGAAGAAAGGTTTTTTATTTACAGATCGTTTTAATCATATCATTAACAATATTGCTGAGAATGGATTTATAAAAAAATGGCAAGAATATTTTTTTAATCATTATCAAAAAGATCAAATAGATTTAAAACCTACAAAAATGAAATTAAAGCGTATGAACTGGATATTTAAAGTATTTAGCTTAGGTTGTTTCATTTCCTATTTGGTTTTTCTAGGTGAATTAGTTACTTTTTATAATTATAATTATTAATATATATTGAGTATTTAGTAATAAAAACGTGATCAACAAAATGTGACCGAACAAAGACAAACACACGAGTTATGTCCGTTATAACTCTGCACGCCTTATTGTTTAAAATTATTTAAAATAGTTTAAAATAAAATAAATTTTTACAGGTATTTTGTTATTTTTGCAAATTCATTGAAATTATTAAAGCGTATACTAGATTAGAAATTTTTCATTTTTTACTTCCTAATAAAAAAAAAACGTTTTTAAGGAGCAAATGAAAGATTCATGAATGTTATCTAATAGAGGTTGTCAATATTTTGGTTTATCAATACGTCCACTGGCGCAATACTCATATCCCTGAGAAAGGAGGCAGTTGGAAAATGGTGATATACAGTGTTAAGTTGTACTGTATTGTATTCTAAGCTGGGGTGCACCCTAATACACCCATTTACCTAGAGATTTTTACAAAAAGATTTTTAAAAATAATATTTAATAAACCATCAATGTACAGTACGAGCAAGAGATAGTGACTTTAAAGCTTTAAAGCCAGCCGGCAATTTACAAAAAAAAACCAAGGAGACTGATACATTATTTTTAAAAATAGTAGAGGAACATTCAAGAGATTGGGTATACTTATTTTATTTTTACCTCCCCTTGATAAAAGGGAAGTATTGTTATCGTGAAAATTTAGATTTTCACGTTTTCGGGTCCCTAGATTACGAAAAACATGTTTTCCCCGTTTCGTCGGTCTGTCTGCCGTCCGCCGTCTGTTTGTTGGCGCGATAGCTCAAAAACGGCTTAAGCGAAAAACCTCAAATTTTGTATGCAGGTAAGGCTTCCTCTTGGCTCAAAACCAGTTATACTTCCGGTCAGATAAATATGGGGTGACCAGTTAAAAAAACATTTATTTTTAAAAGTCAGCAGATTTTGATAAAGTTGGTATCTGATCAAAGATAACAGATCATAAATTACGTTATTTATTGTTTCGGCCTTTACTTGATGAAAATCCATTTAATTTTGAAAGAGTAAAACCAAATTTGGTAGATTTTCACACTTTTATTTTAAAAATAAAAATTTTTTTTTTTTTTTTTAAACAAACACTAACATGACATATGTTTCGAAGTACAACTTCTTTTTCAAATGTGACTATTTACAATTCGGTATCCAATATATATACAAAATAATTTAACAAAACAAAGTACTTAAGAAAACATCAATAACATTACAAAATAAACTAACTATTTAAAGTAAATAAGGGTACTTAGGTAATTATAATATCCATCAAATAACAATAAGATAGCCCATTACCGGGATTATCTCACAGAAAACTGGGAAAGAGGTTTAATAAGGGTGAATTATTAATATCTAATTGATCATTTAGTAAGTTATCTGAATTTTTAAATCTATTTATTTCAAGTGTTTCTAAATGGTTTAATTTAAGGCGCTTATTTTCTACATGTAAAATTTCAAAGTTGTCTGTAAAAGAATGATTTTCAGCTAAAATATGATTTGAGTAAGTAGAATTATTTTTGTTTTTTGTATAGCTATTATAATGTTCGGAATAGCGTTTTTTGAAAGTACGGCCTGTTTGACCAATATACAATTTTGGACAACTACCACAATTTAATTTATATACCCCCGATTTATTATTAGGATTAATTTTACCCTTATTGTTTTTAATATACTTCCCAAGCGTATTATTGGTTTTAAAAGCTACGTTAATATTTTGGTTTTTTAAATATGATGATACCTTTTCACTAGGAGCTCCTATATATGTAAGACTCTTATATCTGCAATTTGGATCTTTAATTATGGGATAAACTTGTTGAATAGCCTGTTTAAAAAGTTTTTTCTCTAAAATGTTGTCTACTAACTTTGAATTAAAATTATTATTTACTGCGATTTGTTTAATGATATTTAATTCTTTTGTGAAGTTCTCTTTGGTAAGGGGAATATTCCCCTTATTTTATGAATAAAAGTTCATATGAACATATGTCCGCAACGGCTTCAATTTTTTGCTACTGGGAGTTGAAAATTTGTTTTTTAAAGAGATATTTTTTAATATATCTGAAAATAGTTTAGATATAATTTTCAATTTTGGCATGTGTTAATAGGATATAAAACCACATATTTTAGTTAGAAAATTTATTTTATTGCATTATCTGCAAACATGTCCTCTGATATTTTCTATAAAAAAAGTAGTACGCCACCGACATTTTTCCATGTTGATATTTTTACTCATTTGACTGGTCAATTCTACATCAATACGACATCTTGTATTTTTCTCGCCAGCCGCTCAGTTCTATATTAAAATAATTTAAATTAATCATCAATACTACAAAATGAAGAAATTTTAATTTAAATGACTAACGATAAAATAAAGTTTACTCAATCTCTTGAATGCTACTATTTTTAAAAGTGATGTATCATTCTCCTTAGCTTTTTTTTGTATGTTGCAGGCTGGCTTTAAAGCTTTCAAGTCACTATATCTTTTACTCGTACTATACTGAGATGAGCTGATACACGTTTTGGGTATTTTAGAGAACGATAAAAATATTAAACTCAATTCTACCTATGAGCAGGCCGGTGTATAAAAACTAAGATTACATAACAGAGATTTATTAACAGTTTTTTACAAAATCATGCCACATATAGAAATAATTTATAAGCAACTAAAGGCGATTAATAATGAGAATTTAATCGAGAGTATTTAAAGTGTGTAAATTGAGTTTTATTAATAAAACTCTGTAATATTAGTCTAAGCGCTTTCAGCCTATTAGGCCATCATCAGAGACTCTACAAAAGAGAGAAAAAAAACGGAGCTGTAACATTATAATCAACTCGTGATATTACTAAACATTGAATAAAAACCTTGAACACTTACTCGTCAAAAACTGTAGAAGTAGCATGAAACTTTATATTTAACTAAATTAAAAAGGACACAATCAAAGTTAAACAACATCTGCAAAACTTTGAAAATGCGATGCCAAAAATGCATGATGAAATGGACACAATTATTGATCAACTAGACTCGGAACTGTTAGAAAACGAAGATGAATCTGTAGCTCAGAAAAGGTAACGTTACCCTCGCTCCGATCTATTTGTTTCAACAAATAAAAAAAAGAAGCCATGGATGTTTGAGATTTCATTATAGAATATATTAGGGCTCGATTTAATTTTACATGACATCTGATAGCTACCGCATCATTAATGAAAATACATTTTATCGAATACCAAAATAACTTTTCTAAAAAATTACTTTCTGATACAGTTAAAATAACAATTCAAGAAAAAAAATCGTCTAAAAACAGAACTGCAAGTACTTTATATAGAGAAGAATTGCAAACCATTTCGGAAACCTTTCCACTCTTATCATTAGTTTCACAGAAAGATATGAGGTACAGTTCGCGTCATTTAAAACTGGTACACTTATTTTCCCAATGTAAAACCAACTTTACTTTTGAAAATGACAAAAGATTTGTCAAGTTTGTCAAAACGCATTGTTGCGATGCCAGGTCATTAGAGTAAGTTTGATAACATGTCATTTCCAAAATAGAAGATGGTTCGTTTACTAGACGACTGGCTCAAGAATTTAATAGAAGCAAAACCACGATTGAGAGCTTTACAAAAATGGGATAACAATCAAATTGTAAACAAAAAAAGAGGGACTGGTAAACCAGTTATAACTATAGCACAACAAGAGGGAACATTAACTATTTATTTACGGCAATATAGGCAAAAGTTGAAACAAACTTTAATGCTTCAGTAACAAAAGCATTATGGATAATTAGAAAAACTGATATAAAGAATTGTGTAGCTGAGCCGCCCCGAAAATACAAACTTAGCAAAGTAAATACGCTAATTAGAGTTATCTTAACCTTAAATTTTATTATGTTTTAAATGATTCAATAAAGCTTGGCAGAAGATGAAAAGTTATTAATAAATTTAATTAACTCAGTGCTTAGATTAAAAGAAATTATTAATAATGGAGCTATGACAAGTGTTATGTAGTTAAAATTCCTACCTAATGTGTTTATTAGACTATAATGATAATGACTAAAGTATGTTTCCTTTTAAAAGTAATTTAGATAAGATATGTTATAAATAGGAACCTCGACTTCAAAAAGGTAGCATTGTGGTTACTGAAGTCTTGGTGTAAACTAGTATTTGTATACCACTGTTCATTTTAACTTTAAATAAACTTTTTAAAAACGGTAAAGGTGTAATAAAAAACATAATTCAAGATAATAATTATTTATTTCATTTGTTTCGAATTGTAAATGAATTTAAATATTACACTTATTCATTTTTAACTGCATTAAATTTTAAATTTTTACATTGCGTTTTATTGCTTTATCAAATTTATTTGTATGATTATATTATCTACTAATATTTTCGTTGTGCTGGCAACGTTATTCTAGAAAATATAACCTAAAAAGTAGTTTAACTTTGAAACATTTTAAAAGATCAATTAACACAGCTTGAAAAGCACGATTTTTTGTTGAGAAGAGTTGTACCACTTTTATATGACGCGAAGTGTACACTTTTTAGGAAACTATTAAGATACTGGCAGTTTTAGTGATAACACCTATTTCAACATACGCACCTGAAAGATGCTTCTCTATGTTAGAGAGGATAAAAACTTTTTTACGCAACTCAATGAAAGAAGAAAGACTAAGTGCATTGGGAAAGTTATCAGCTGAAAAAGTGTTTCCCAACAACATTGAAGACTTTAATAAACGAGTTATTGACATTTTCGTTAGTAAAACAGAACGGAGACTATATTTCAAATATCGTTCAGTGCAAAATCTGCTTCATTTTACTGTATAGCTTAAGAATGCAATAAATTAGTACTCAATACTAATTCTGGTAAGCTTTTATTTATTATTTTGAAAAAAAAAAACTGTAAATACGCGTGTTTTTAAATAAAAATACCTAAAAAAATTACCCGATGCTTATTTTTTGAAATTTGGCCGAGGCACGCAAAAATGTTTCGTCTCCGGCGAGGCACTTGCGTGATACATTGGACTGGCACCATCTGCGTGCTAAGTCACGAGCCGCCACTGATTAATATCACCAACTAATAAAAATCCAGTTCAGAATAGTTTGTTCAAGAAAATGTTCTAAACTCGAGATGAAATGTTTAGGTGTATTTGATGGAGAACGGAAAATGTTTCTTTAAATTTTGATAAAAATCAGTGTTTTGTATAATGTTCAAATTTTTTCAACAAATTTAAATGATTTGTCTCCACCACCACTGTGAATAATTAAATGTTGCTGTAATGCAGATTTGAACTTAAAACATTTCGAACAAATGTCACAGTTGAATGGTTTATCATCACTGTGAATGATTAAATGTTTCCGTAAGTTAGATTTACTATTAAAAAATTTGGAACAAATATCACACTTGAATGGTTTCTGGCCACTGTGAATGATTAAATGTGTCCGTAAGTTAGATTTACTATAAAAATCTTTGGAACAAATGTTACACTTGTATGCTTTTGCACCACTGTGAATTATAACATGTGCGCGCAAGCTATTTTTATGAGTAAATTCTTTGGAGCAAACGTCACACTTGAATAATAACTTTTCACCACTGTGATTTGTTAAATGTGCCCGTAAGCTACATTTATGTTTGAAACTTTTGGAACAAATATCACACTTAAATAACTTTTCACCGCTATGAATTATTAAATGTGTCCGTAATTTAGATTTATAAGTAAATGCTTTGGAACAAATGTCACATTTGAATGGCTTTTCAACACTACCACCGCCCCTATGAATAATTAAATGTGTCTGTAAGTTAGATTTAAAATTAAAACATTTGGAACAAATGTCACATTTGAATGGTTTTTCGCCACTGTGAATGATTAAATGAGTCCGTAAGTTGGATTTATTATTAAAATCTTTGAAACAAATGTCACACTTGTATGGTTTTGCACCACTGTGAATTATAAAATGTTTGCGCAAACTAGAATTCTGAGTAAATTCTTTGAAACAAATATCACACTTAAATAGCTTTGCATCTCCGTGAATTATTAAATGTTGCTGTAAGTTAGATTTAAATATAAAACCTTTGAAACAAATGTCACACTTGTATGGTTTTTCACCATGGTGAATTAATAAATGTCTTTGTAAGGCACCTTTTCTATTAAAACATTTAAAACAAACGTCACACTTGTATGGTTTTTGACCACTGTGAATCATTAAATGTTGCCGTAAGTTAGATACATTATTAAAACCATTTAAACAAATGTCACACTTGAATAGCTTTTCACTACTGTGAATGATTAAATGTCTCTGTAAGGTAGATTTAATATGAAAACATTTGAAACAAATGTCACACTTGAATGGTTGTTCCTCATCGCTGTGATTTTTTAAATGTCTCACTAAGGATGATTTATATTTAAAATCTTTGTTGCAAATGTCACATATGATCGGTTCTTTATTAATTTCGAAACAAGTGTCAGACTGCAATGATTTTTCATTAACGTTGTCCATGCTTTTTTGCTGCAACTCTTTAGAAAAAAATAAATATTTCAACGGTTTGTCGCCAATGCGATTCTTAGTTCTATTTTTCACTAGATGAATAAAAAAATGTTGAAAAACATCAGTTTTTTTCAATAATTTCCCACAAAACTGACAAACTACGTAATGCTTGTCAAAATGTCCATCAATATGGGTCGATCTTGAAGAGGAAGAGTAATCTGCAAATAAAAAAAGTTGTTTGAAATTGACCGCCCAACTAACAAAATGTTTTATAATTGTTGTTAGAAAAACTATAATAGATTTTCATATCAAGGTTTTTAGATATTTATACGACAGCTGTGGACCACCAGTAACGCCTCGGTATGTAGAGCCAAAACTATTTGATTTTTTTAAATTCATTTTCATGGCGAGATATATATATATATATATATATATATATATATATATATATATATATATATATATATATATATATATATATATATATATAAGCGCGACAAATTAAAAATTATTTCAATTATACAGGGATCTCTAGGAAAGTGATACATATTAAATTTAGATTAGTATTTTATTTTATATTTGAATTACCTTCGCTTTTCCGATTATAACACTATTAAATACTATACAGGGTATTTCACACGCTATAACTAGTTTTATATGAAACTCGTATTGATTTCAATGACATGTATACTGCAAAAGAAACAATTAAAAACCAATTGTCTGCGGTAAAACGTTTTCGATATTAGTCAACATTTAGGTTTCCCATTTAAAAAAACCTAACTTTGATATGTATCACTTTCTTGGAAACCCATGTATAAATGAAATTATTTTTAAATTGTTGCCTTTTCTGATATACATCTCGCTGTGAAAACAGATTTTAAAAATCGTCGTATTGGTGGTGAAAGGAGCTAAGCCACACTTTTAGGTAAAATGAGTTAACTGCACCATATCAATTAAAAAACTATGAAAAATACAGTGGTGAAAAGAGCTGAGCGATTCTGTAATTATAAGCTTAAATCCGGTAAACTGTGAAAGAAGCTAAGTGAAAATACATATTATTCTTCACCAATACCCAATCACTATTGTATGGTAAAATTCTTTAGTGGTGAACAGAGCTAAGCCGCATAGTTACAGAGCAGCGCATTTGTTTTGTTTGAAACATGTGGCATAGCCATTTTTATAGTTGACAAGTTCATTTTTCAAGAACACGTCGCGAGGTTTTTAAAACGTATTGAGCTGATCGAGTGCAATATTTTGAAGTAGTTTGTGAAAAAACCAAAACAAGCCTAGTATGTAACTTGATACTTGATATTTTATCTATTTGTTATGTGTTTAAGCTCAGTTGATTTTGGGCGTGGGTTAGGATATTAAATAACTTTGAAAAAGAAGTTGGGCACCACTATATTTAAAACTTACTATACTTGACTTTAGATTAGTGATAAAAATATAGAAAATCACTAACCACTAACAAATTATATTTAAACCAAGTTTTAGATAAGGTAGTAACAAATTCTAATTCACATAGTTTTACTTCAAATTTAAGATGATTTATTTAAAAGCACACTTATCTTTTGTAACAGGAGGTAGTAATATAAGGAATGTGATGTGCATGGTATATTTCAGGCCTTCTTCAAATGGATTCGGGATCCTTATTCTTAATTCTGGACATGAACGATCTTGTGAAATTTGGTATTCTAACTTAACTCGAAACGTGTCGATTTTCTATAGGTGAACCAAACCACGGTCTTCAGATTGCACCAAACTTTTAGGTATAAAAACCATAAAACTTCTAGATATAAATTCACATAAACTGTCTAGATATAGATCCAAATAAACCGTCTGGATATAAATCTCCATAAACCGTCTGGATATAAATCTCCATAAACCGTCTAGATATAGCCAATGCTAAAAAGAAAAGGTTAAAATGTTAAGACAGGAAATAGGAAATTGGAACATGATTTAAATAAAATGCTTCTAACTAATAAATGAACAATTTAAAACTATTAACTGAATAATTTCACAGAGACTACAATTAATATGAAAAGGAAACATCTTATTTAACATATTTAAACATAGTAAAGCATAATATCTTATTTCAAAAAAAATAATATATAAATTATCCATATGTGTTACTCATTATTGATAGGTATTGAGGTTATGTCGGAACTTAACAATTTATTTAAAAAAATCTTTATATAAAATATATATATTTAACAATATATTAGTATTAAAACTTACCTTATAAAATCAGACGGATTATACGATAGATAAAAATTATTTAGTACATCAGATGGCCAAGATAATTTAAAATGAAATCAGTTGATTCGTTGACATTCAAGTCAAAAATGATTTTCACAGTATGAATCAAGAAAGAAGAAAACGACAAATGACATTTGAGTAGAGGTGAATTTGTCAAAATAACGAATAACGGTTCCAACCGTTACAAGTTATAATAGACAATCGCTCTTAGCGTGAATGATTATTGTTGGCGGTACCTACTTATACATAAGTTGTTTTTATATTCCGTTACTAGTTTTGTAAATCTGTTAATTTGTGATTATTGTTAGAGACACCTAATATAGTTATTGTTATAAAAAGGACCTAAAGTTTGGTTATATACAGAGCAATGGCACATAAGTCGCGCGGCAAATTCTTGTTGAGCTATGTAGCGGTCTCAATAAAAAAGAAAACAGTACAGGTAAGATGATATAAAAATCTTTAAAAATGTGTTGACTGGTACATTGCTTTTTACTTGCGGTGTTTGAAACACAGGTACACTAGAAAAAATAACAAGCATTTAAAGTATAAATGTAATCCGATTATTTATTGAATTTTATACATTTTAAACTTCTGAACAAAGCGAAGTCTTATGTTTTGGCTTTGTCCTTCTGTCTGTCCATACCCATGTTTCAGTGACCAATCGGTAAGAGCTATTGATAAGCTTTGTGTAGCTTACAAGTATAGCAATATAGAAGACGCAGTTAAAAGGGAACAAAATATTGAATATGGACAAATCAGTAGTGAGTTAGAAAAACCTTTAGTTCCACAAAATGAAAAAACACCAAACCTTGAAGAGCTGGAAGTACCTGCAGTCCTAGAAAGTGGAAATTCTAAACAAAACAACAGTGAAGATGGAGAATATTTTGTTTCACAAAATACATTAAGTGGTAAATATCATTACTATAATTTATTGATATTAGTAGGTATATTATGCACATTTATTTATTGATGGCTTTTATGACTTGAGTATGAGAATTACGACACGAGTGCCTTAATTGCATTAAATGTAAGATGCATACAAAAATTTTTCTACGTCCATCAAGCCGAAATAAAGAAGTTGCCCCTTTTTAAACTAAATTGTAATTTTTATTTTATTAGATACGAGTAAGGACAATCTCTTTGCTGGATCAGACTTAAATGAAGATCCCGATTACATTGAAGAACAGTCCACATCTGATTCTTCCTCCAGCAAAAATTCAATATTTCAAGATTATTTATCTCTTACCGATGAAAGATTTAGATGGAGCTTCATTAGTAAATGTGTTTCAAAGAAAGTATCAAAAAGGCGGTATGTATTGGCTAATCAAACAGATCATTTTTCCAGACGGCAACATACTTTAGTATACACCTTAACATCTACAAGTGGAACACACCAAGTTTGCAAAAAAATGTTTCTTGGTACTTTAGATATTTCTGGAAAGAAAATTGAAACCGTTATAAAAAAGACCTTGGAGACTGGAGTTGTAGAAGGTGATAAAAGAGGTTTAAATCCTGCTACCAATAAAATTGCAGAAGGCCGTAAAGATATTGTACGAAGTCATATAAATTCAATTCCGGTAGTTGAATCACATTATTGTAGGAATTCTTCAAAAAGAATGTACCTCCAAACAGGCTTATCAGAAACTCGCTTGTATCAAGATTACTTAAAATTTTGTAAAGAGCGCCAGGTGATACCTGTCACTTCCTCTTTTTACAAGCAATTTTTACTAGTGAATATAATTACGGTTTCCACAGGCCCAAAAAGGACCAATGTGATTATTGTGCCTTGTTTAAGAATAAATCAGAAGATGAAAAATTGAGGTGCCAACATGAATCCGATTTACACATTTTGAGAAAACAAGAAGCCCGTGAACACAAAAAGGCAGATAAAGAACTGGCCCGTAATGATTTAGGCTTTAGGGCGTATACTATGGATTTAGAAAAGATCTTACTCACACCTCAACTAGGAATTGGACAATTGTATTACAAAAGAAAATTGAAAAGCTATAATTTTACGGTATATACTCTTGCTGATAATAGTGTCATAAATTACATGTGGCACGAAACTGATGGAACTAAAGGAGCATCAGAAGTAGCTTCATGCTTGTGGTATTTATTTACCGACTTACCTCCAGAAGTCTCTGAAGTGACATTTTATTCAGACACTGCTTCCGGGCAGAACTGAAATACAATTTTGTCAGCTACGTTTTTAAGAGCCTTGTCTCTATTAGATAACCTAAAGGTAATCAATCAAAAATTTATGGAATCTGGACATTCAGAAATGGAATGTGACAGCGTCCATTCAGCTATCGAAAATAAAGGAAAAAAATTGATATATTTGTTCCCGATCAATGGTATACAGTCGCAAGGACCGCAAAATTAAGTAATCCTCCCTATATAGTAAGAGAAATGGACTATACTCAGTTTTTAGATTTTAAAACTTACAGCCAAACATTGATAACAAATAAAAATAAAAATGTGGATGGCAATATTATGAGGTGGTTAGATGTTAAATGGTTGCAGTTTAGAAAAGATTCACCATTGCTAATTTATTACAAGAACCAGTTGAGCGACAATGAATTTAAACAATTGTGCATTAGAAGGCCTACTCGTAAGGAAAATACTATAAATAATGTAAAACAACTGTACCAATCTCGTCTTCCAATTGATGGCAATAAATTAAAGGATTTAGTGTCTTTATGCAACTCAAATAAAATACCACCCGTTTATCATCAGTTTTCCCAAAATCTAGACTCTACTGAGCGTAGCAACTCCGATCATTCTGAGTAGATTTAGTAAAATACTTTTAATAAAAACAATAATTGTAAGTGGTTATTTTTATTGTTAATGATATTATTAGTATTATTAATCACTTATATTATAGTGGTGAAAGAAGCTAAGTTCTAATTATCTAATAATTAATAATTATACAACTTTTTTTTACATTTTTTCAAACCACTCTTAAAATAAAGGACCTGTTTTCGTTTGTACCAAATTTCATCATATTCAGTAAATAAATAGCTTAGATATAAATCAAACATTGTTTTAATTTAAAAATTACAAACTTAATATCCCATTTGCTCCATTTAGTAAATGTGTGGCTTAGTTCCTTTCACCACCAATACGACGAAATATCAAATAGTTTTTGGCTCTAGACAGGAGTTACCGTGTCCCAACCTGTATAACGTGAAAGGACCCAATATGAACACATTTTAGTTACTTGTAAAAGTATTGTTGACTATTTATATTAGTCTTACTTGTAAAAGTATATTATTCTTATAACACGCTATAAAAATGTTTTGTTTTTGTTATAGTCTCGTTAGGCGCTAATAGACATTGCTGTCATCGGTTATTAAAACATATAATAATATACACAGCATATTCAATAACAGCTACTCATCTTTCAGCGGCATCTTTTGAAGTTTGAAAGTCAAATAGCTATAGCCCTTATAACGGCAGCAAACTTAATTTCATTGGTATTTGCATTTGCGTAATTTCTGCAACAATCGCACGTATCTTTAACTTTTAATTAAGTAACCACATACATTTTTGACAAAAATGTTCTCTAATCATCGCTGCAGTAGTCCGTAATAATAAATCTTTTTCCTACGACCACTTAGGAAAGTGACACATATCACACTATATAGTCCTATGGAAAGTGTCCTATATCACACGCGTATGACTAAGAATTTACTTTCCACCCAAGTGAGAATATGTTACTTTCCGCAGTAGTTGTCAAAAAATGTCAAACGCCTAATTTCTATTTTGATCTATGTAATGTCCATATTAATACTAAAATCGATATGATTGTTAAATTATTGAAATTGTTTTAAATTAGATCCTAGATATTTATCTTTAACAATTATTATTAAAATAATTTTAAAATAACTAAGATTATGTTTGCTCTTTAATTTGGGTAAATACATAACCGATTAGATCATTCAATTGACGTAAGGCCCATTAGCTCAGTTGGTTTAGACGTCGAACTTATCAACTTTGCCATTTTTTGACCGCGTTCAATCTATGGTTCAAATCCTGGCGGAGCCGAATTTTTTTTTTGTTTTTTTTTTTTATTTTTTATTAGTTTTTTTTGTTTAGAAAATATGAAAATTGAATAAATACAATTATTGTTGATTATTTTTTTAAATACATTTTAATTAATATAGTAATAATAACCTTGGTTTTACATTTTTTTGATATTATTTTGTAAGCTAATTTCTATTTTGATCTATGTAATATCCATATTAATACTAAAATCGATATGATTGTTAAATTATTGAAATTGTTGTAAATTAGATCCTAGATATTTATCTTTAACAATTATTATTAAAATAATTTTAAAATAATGTTTGCTCTTTATTTTGGTTAAATACATAACCGATTAGATCATTCAATTGACACAAGGGCTGTTAGCTCAGCTGGTTAGGACGTCGAACTTATCAATTTTGCCATTTTTCGACCGCGTTCAATCTATGGTTCAAATCCTGTCGGGGCAGAATTTTTTTTTTGTTTTTTTTTATTTTTTTTTTATTTTTTTTAGTTTTTTTTGTTTAGAAAATATGATAATTGAATAAATACGATTATTGTTGATTATTTTTTTAAATACATTTTAATTATTATAGTAATAATAACCTTGGTTTTACATTTTTTTGATGACATTATTTTGTGGTCGTAGGAAAAATATTGTACATCACTTGTGTGAAAAGTGATTTTCCACACTCGTGTGATAGTCGCACTCGGCTTGCGCCTCGTGCGACTATATTTCCCACTCGTGTGAAAAATTTCACTTTCCACACTCGTAATGTAATATACTATTTTCAACGCGCACAGCCGACCTTGTAATAGATCGGCGTTACCTTGCAATAAAATGTTAATTTCAAAACAATTTTGACTAGCTCATAGAAATTTAACACCAAACATTACTTACCTTATACAAATTAAAAAGAAATGAGCACATTAACCATAGTTTTCTCAGTCGTGAACTCGGCTTTTCTGATAGACACCTCTGGGATAATAGTTTTCTGGGACAGAGGGGCGCCAATAATTCGCTTTTTTTATTTTTAGAAAGCTAGTGAGAATTATAAACTCTAGCTTTGTCAAAAAGATAAAATGTAATTTGAGTAAAAGAGAATTGTTGTATCCTTAAAAAAATAAGATTTACTGAGATATCTTTAAAATGACATTATTAAAAAACTTACCACTATATTTTGCAGTCCAAGCACTCAACTTTTAGTTCAAGTTATCAGATGAGAAATGAATTTTAATGAAAAGATTCTAAAATTGGGAGCCAGCCAGATCCCCACCAAGAGAAATTTCCCTCTCTAAGCGCCAATAATTAAATGGTAAATCAATCTGATACTAATTTATACAGGATGTCACACAATTAAAATAACATTTTTAAATGGAATTTTAAAATGTTACAACCTTTGTCTTTCAGGTTCAAACCGCTCTTAAATATTTGATGGTAAATCTGATACCTATTTTTAACAAAATTTCAGTCGTATCATCTTCGCAGTTCTGTTCCTGAATGCATTACAATAAGACAAATAAGTTTTTTAAATGCTCGCATAAATTGGATAGGCGAAGGATTCACATAAATATCGGCAAACTCCACCAAAACAATTTTCAAAGCAGGTTTGATGTGTTCGTTTTGTTAACAAAAACTTCATGCATTCTGATTTTAAATTTTCGCATAAATGTACTTATTCGTAACTCAAAAAAAAAAAAACTAGAATTAGAACTCGAACTACGAATGTTTGAATGTTGGTTTACAAGCAAATTGATTTTGATTTTAAATAACCAATCAATATGACGTTTTCAAAATTATATTTAATCAGAGACAACACAATCATCTTTTCTTATAACTATAGTTACAGTTCCATAAGTCATTTTTTAAATCTAACTTTTCTAAATTCCCTGAATACTTTTCTGCTAAACTATCGAAACTTTTCTTAACGTCACAGTCCCGACGACAGATATCTGCCAAGAAAGATGCGAACTATCCATTTTATGCCGAGATAAGTAGCTAGTATTGAATAAACTGTGCCTTGGTCTGCAGAGCCAAAACTATATATATTTTTAATCAGTTTTCACAACAAGCTGTACATCAGAAAAGGCAAAAATTTCAAAACAAATTCAATTAGACAGGGTTCTCCAAGAAAGCGATACATATCAAAGTTATCTTTTTTAAAATGGGAAATCCTGTTTTTTTATTTCATATTTGATTTTCCTTTGGCTCTCCCATTATAACAATGTCAAATATTATGAGATTATACACGCCATAACACAGTTTTATGTATTTAATTATTTAACATACACCACTCTACGGTTTTTCCATTTACAGAGTGGGAAAAATACAATATTTATATTATTCCAACACAGAACATAAGTATACATATAAAAATATAGAAAACAAGTATAATAAGACTAGCCAATATAAAAAAGAACAGTACAATTAAAAATTAGTATATTATGCAACGATCATGTAATGATGGTTATTAATACACGAGCATTAACCGGGATACGAAACGAGCCAAAGGCGAGTTTCGTATGGTTTATGCGAGTGTTTTAATAACCATTACATGAGAGTTGCATACGCTATTTTTTCTACACCCGATAAATAATCAAGACCTATAAATATTATATTTATATTGGTATTGAACACAATAAAAGTAATTACTCGTATTTCTATAAAAAATTCTACAAAATTGTAATTAATGGTATTACTTCAGGTATTGGTATTTCCCTAGATTTTTGCGGTAAAATATTTTGTACTGTATTTTCTGCTTTCTCCGATATGTGTGGAGGAGTCTTCTATATCGCTAATATCAGACATTTTAATATTATAATTATCGAAGTTTAGCTACCTACGAAAATTTAATACGTTTTGACAACTAAAATAATTACATAGGAACCTAGGACAAACGTCAAACAGCATGCTTGATTGAAAAATTGTAGGTTTCTATTGATTAAAAATCTGTATCGTAATGAAAAATCTGTATCATAATGGGTATCATTATGAAACGGATTATGGGCATATAAGTGCATTATTATAATACGGGTGTAGAAAAAGTACATTATATCACTATTATTAATTACTAATTAAAATATATATGTGACAACTTAAAAAAACCATGGGAGGTCAAAGAAAGTAGTGATCACATACACAGAAAACTAATTTATACACGTACACTATTTGAATGCTAATTTTTATAATTTGACGATAGATTATTACATTTATTGAACAATTAAAACTATCAAAATATTTGGAGCTATCTTGCAATGCATTGTAATTGTTACACATAAAATATAAAGAAGACTATTTTAAATTATTGGTCTTAGGAGTGGATAAGTAAAATGTTGCCGAGTGCCTAGAATTTTCACGAGGAACAGGAAAGTTTTTTTTTTTTTTAATTTGGTGTCATCGGCGTCGACTACTACGGCATTAGCCTCGTGTTCTGTGCAGGCTTTGTTACTGTTTCCCAGCGCCACTTTAGGAACAGCACTGTTAATTAGAACCCAACAGTGAATAGTCGAGTGGGGAATCCTACCTATGCATTAGAATTAATATTTATTTTTTTTTTAATTAAATAAAAAGTCCTGCCACCGGTAGGATTCGATCCTGAGACTTTTCGATCTCAGAGTCATGACTCTAACCACTGAGCCAACCCACCCCCTAGGAAAGTTAATTAAATTTAAAATTTCAGAAAAGTCTGTTTTGGAACTTATTATTTTGTGTAAGAAACATAGATAATTTATATGTGTACGATCTTGAAGAGATTTCAATGACCTGTATACTACAAAAGACACAATTGAAAACATATTTTTGTCGGTAAAAGGTTTTCGAAATTAGTCAACATTTTATGCCGATGTACTACTTTTTTATTTCGAAACAAATCTATACAGGGCGAGTCAAAACTCATATATCATTTTCTCCTTTTTGACACCCTTTATTTTATATCACCATTTAAAAGTACATTAAATAAAGACTTATTTGAGTTAAGCATCTCCTA